CATCAATCCATCTTCTGTTAGGACGACCTCTTGCTTTCACTTCAGATCTTTTTATGTGTAGCGCCTGTGTTGGTAGTTGTTCTGGCTGCATTCTTACTAGATGATTAAACCATGTGATCTTCTGTTTTTTAATTAGTTTGCTGGATGATGTTGTTCCTACTGTCTGTCTGATAATATCATTTATAACTTTGTCTCGGATAGTTAAGTTGGCGGCTTTTCACGTTTCGCTTGGGCAAAATAACTCAGCTTTCGGAACACGATGCTGTGAATAGGCCAATTCTCCTCGATGCGCAGGACATGTAGAATGTCGGTATTTTTCTTCCTCTTGTGCCACGGTTTTCTAAGAATTTTTCTGTAGCATTTCAGTTCAAAATCTCTGATTTTTTCCCCTTCGATGATTGAATAAGAGTAACTAATTCACATCCAATAGGTGCCCCGAGAGAGATGCATGATCTCAAAATATTTAATTTGCAGGTAACAGAAAAACAGATTGTGTCGGTTCAAGCTAACACAGAGAGTTGCTTGGTAATCAGTGAGTTTAAGGTCGTTGGCAGATATGGTTGTAGTTTACAGCTAGACTGCGATATATGTGCTGTTCGATCCAGCAAATCCAAATTTTAACAATAGGGGCTCACATTTTTTTTTTTTTTTTTTTTTTTTTTTTTTTTTGTGGGTCGAATTCGGTGTCCATCTGCCCGAGAAGCAATGAATCAAAAGTCTGCATACAAAAAACGCCAGATCTGTAACACGGATATGCTCACAAACCTCAAGTTCTGAACAAAATAAAAGTCTTGAAGTGGATGAAAAACCAGATCTTTTCTAACGAGTCTACAGCTAGTGAACACGAGGAAGAAGAAACAAATATATATACACACTATTCATACAATTATATGAAAAGTTCATACACACATAGACACGCGTACAAGCGCCATCACGAACACACACACATTCACAAGTCCATACACTATATATAAATATATATATATATATATATATATATATATATATATATATATATATATATATGTGTGTGTGTGTGTGTGTGTGTGTGTGTGTGTGTGTGTGTGTGTGTATAAAGACAAGCAACTAGACTGGCAAATAATTTTACAGGCAACTAGACTGGCAAACAATTAGACAGGCAACCAGCTAGCGAATCAGTTAGATCAATAAACGATTCGATAAAAATGTAGGTGAGTATACAAACACACAAATACAGAAAGACAGACAAGCAGACAGGCAGGTTGAGACGACTAGCTAGATAATCGAAAGAATGACTAGACAAAGAGACACAATTGTTGGTGAGCAGAAAGACACACTTCTAGAGATACATACACACACAGGCGGTGGTCAGGCAGATATACAAACAGATGTTGGGTCACAAAACATTCTCGTGCCAATACACATTTACGCACAGTTTTAGCCATTGTGATCTTTCTGACTCACATCTTGAAAGCAAAAGACCCGAAATAACAGTTTCATATGCAGTGTGGATATTCAAGTTTTAAAACCATAAAAAATAAGAAAAAAAGTAATTAAATAGACACATTTAACGGTAACTCTGTGCTGTAAAGAAATGTTAATTTAACCACACGATAATATTTTTGGCTCTGATGAAACACATTTGTGTTCAGTTCAGAAGAGATCCGTTATATTTTATTGGAAGTTTTGTTGAACTGCTGTTATATATTTATTTTCTGCTATAGTTCGTTCCGAAAGTTGTGCCTTCAAACGTTAACAAACATCTCGAAAAGTTATGTACGTATCCTCACGAATTGTTGCGTGTAGTCTTAGATTTTCCCGTCCTTATGATTTCATATTTAACAACCGCGCAGGCGTTTCGATTTTCTTACAGCATTATGGCACAACATGACGTATCCACTTCACTATTAAATGTTACTGGGCTTTGGTTTTTCTCAGAGATTACCTCAAACACGCAGATAATTTGATGTTTTGTCAATCCATTTACTGTAAATATGCTAAGTGTGTGCTTTAAATCGATGTTTTGTGTGTCTGTGTGTGTGTGTGTGTGTGTGTGTGTATGTGTATATATATATATATATATATATATATATATATATATATATATATATAACACAAATAATGCAAAACAAAAACTAGATTCTTTTTTTAAAACGTATTTATTTTACTACAATGACATGATTATTAACAGGTTGCAAATCAAATTTTAATAAATTACATCAAACGGTTACTTGGTTACAGATTTTTTTTAATTTGGGCAAAACTTGTGGAACGAACTATAGTAAATAATGACAACAATAATTATTATTATGCAGTTAAACAAGGTCCAAATCCTCATCAATTCAATTATAGACCTAGTCAGGACTACTGTGAGTGCTATTGAGATCAGAATCTATTCAGATCACAATCTATTCAAATCACAATCTATTCAGATCACAATCTAATCAGATCACAATCGACGTCACTACACATTGGGCATTTCTATAAGTGCTTACTTCTCCCATACAACAGCCATTCCAGCGTACCTCTACAGATTGTTCCCATTAGGGAACAGAGATCATCAATGTTGTACTAGGTTAAATGATAACGACGAATCTCTAACACTAACACGATTGCGCGACAGCGGAGTAAAGCATGGTAAAGCACGCCTATGCCCTCGTCAAGGCTGAGATATGAGGAATTTTAACAAGCTCCTCGTGGGAACAATCAGTAGCGTTACCTTCGAGTGGCTGCTGCATCGGAGGACAGAGCACGCATGGAAATGTACAGTGACGTCAATTGTGCTAACATAACATACAATTATAAATTATTTTTTTTTAAAGGAGGGGGAGGTGAGGAAGGCGGAGAGGGGATAAGGAGAAATACCTCCTCACCCCCCCCCCCCCCCCCCCCCATTTTCCCCGCCGTCATTCCAACAGTCATATCTCGTTTAATACTGTATCATATTCGAAGGACGTCCATACTGTGCCACAGATTTGATTTGATTAGGAGGTGTAGCTTTCAAGACAGGAATGTATCCGTATTTCTGTCAATAAATCAATGAGGCACCGTCTCCACAATGAAGGTTGGCTGCAATCTATCTTCAACACGGTCTGTGGCCCTGGATGTACACTCTCTAAGTCGGCTGTGTGTCCATTTCTTGAGGTTATCCTCCCACTTGTATCACTGTCTGTCTTTTGCTCATCTCTTTCAAAGCGTCCCTCCGTTATGGTTTACATACATTAGGGAGCCGAATTGGCGTAGTGGCTAGACAGCTGCGGATTTGATTTTTTCAGAAATAATCTTGGCTCCCACGTCGACACAGTCTAAAGTGGGTACCAGGTAAAGTCCTAGGAAGTAAAGGTGGTCGGTGTTATGAAGACCACATCGTCCATCTAGTGTCGACTAGCCTTTTCTTGAAAAAAAAACCTCTGCATTTGTGTACCAGATGCTCTTCTGGTGTGAAAATTTCCCGTGCTTTATTTACATCTTACCACAAACAGAGGACATCCACAGGTAACAGGACAGTTTAATATTTCAGGGCGTTGGTAGATAGACTGCATGCAGTCGTGGGACCTAGGCTGCACTCTCTCGTGGGAGGTTGGTTGGGGTTAGGGCCAGCTGTAGATGTTTTGTGGTCGTTAAAAAGCATCAGAAAGCCGAGAAACATTGTCTTACCACCCGTTAAAATGTTGGAATTTCATGTGACGTCATCTGGGGTAAGAACAAATAAAGCACCATATTTCCTAAAATTTAACTGAATTAAGTGAGACCCATGACGCAATCACCGGGCCTGACACAAATTATATCTTAACCGTTTTTCTTAGTGTTCACCGGCTGTTAAATCCGTCGGAAAACTCTGGTAGTTCGTCCAGATTTGGACTCGGTCTTGTTCCAGAACTTGAGTTCTGAGTGCACATTCGTTTTACAGTTACGGCTAATTTGTATGCAGACTGTTGGTTCCTTGCCTCTCAGGCAGATACACTTCGACGAAAACAACCCTAAAATGTTGACATGTATGGAATGACTGTTTTTTGGAGGAAAACCATGGGGGGGGGGGGGGGGGAGGATATACTCTTTCGTTTCTTTTTCTCAAAATGAGGCCACGGAACCTACATGTGGGCTCTAAATTCCATCTACATTCTAACATCTAAATTCCAGTCTTGGGTTCCGATAGATGAAATTAGACCCAGTTAATGAAAAGCTCTTTAACATAGGTAATTAAACCCAGCCAACGAAAATATCTTTTACAGAGGTGTCAAAATGAGCGCTCTGACGAAATACACGTTGCTATTTTTGTGTAGTTTGACAAAGGCTGCCCGGCGGAAACGTTACGTTATTTGTATTGTTTTGTGCATGTTTTTTCTGCTTCCCCATTTTGTTGAGCTTTTAAGTCAAATTTCTCTGGAATTCGAAATACACGAGTATCTTCGGCGAGATACTGATGTGATTCAAAGATTTTAGATTTGAATTCTGGTGTGTTCAGTGTATTGATTTCAATATGTATAATGTCTATTTGTCCATTGGGAGCGGTCGTGGTGTAGCGGCTAGACGCTCTCCACCAGATCCGGCAGTCGTGGGTTCAAATCCGAAAGGTGCTGGACTTCTTTCAAATATCATCTTCGATCCCAGGTAGGCCCAGCCTTCAATGATTATTAACTAAAGTCCTTGGAATCAACGACAGACAGTGTGATGTTAACCACATTACCCACCTAGTACCGATTGGTCTATAAAATATCGGTCGAGCCCTATATGTCCAACATGCTGATTGCGTGGAAAAGGGCCCACTACAGGTTGTCATCTGATCTGTTTCCCATAGTCTGTAAGCGCCCACTCAGCACATGTGAATTTAGAGAACAAAGAGTGTATGTTTATGTTGTATGTGAGCAAGTATCCATGCTTGGCCGTGTTATCTTTTTGTGTCTGTATATGTGTACACACGAGTTTGTCCTATGTGCAGAAATTACATCATAGCAACACACCTCTATAGCCCAAGGTAGAAAACAAAATATTATGAATGAAAGACCATCGCTTTTTTTAGTTTATGATCCATCACGCGTATTAGTCTGACCAATCCCGTTCATCAAGGCTTCAGTTTGTATAATATTTGTGTGTCTGCTGCTAGAGTAATCAAAACCACCATTGACAGCACCATTGTGTCCGTTCGCGGTGGGGAGATCCGGCTGAGGCTGTCCGTAATACGAATCTTTGGCTGTTCCAAAATTGTCGATGTTTTTTTCCTGTATTTCGAAGTCGTTACTGTCATTTCTGCCCAAGATGCGGTCAAAGGCAGCACATACTACTGGAGGAGTCTTTTCAGATGCATCCAGGTTGTAGGCGGGAACACGAACAATACGTTGCATAAGTTGAGGGTTTAAGTTTCCGTTGGGGAACTGGCGTATTTCCAATGGCGCTTTTGGATCTTGAGCGGGCTCTAAAGATGAACTGATGGAAGGAGACACGAGGCATGACTGTCCTTTCCCTGATTCTAGCGTATTCGGCCTTTTCTTTGGCATGGACAGCTCGAGTCGACTCCAAAATTTATTATATTCCTGTGGGGAAAAGGAAGCGATTATTTTACAAGCGGATTTAATACTTTAAGTAACCGACTGACAATATACCTGACAATGAAGCGATTAACAAATTAGAAATACAGTGGTATTTTGATATACGTACTCAATCCGTTACAGATTCTTGGACTTTTACTAAACAGAATGTATACCAAACGAATTTTCCCATAAAAAATAATATATATTGTTACTGGCATATTGTACATTTATGGGGTTGTATTAAAAAAAATATAAAGAAAATGTATCCTCACTCTAACTTGATGAGAACATTCGAGTGCTTTCTAGGATGGTGCTAAGAAAGGAGGAGTAGATATTAATGTATGGTTTCCCTACCTAGACCTGGTTGAAGTTCACAAATGCTTAGCACGCGAGTCGTATTCAAAACAACGATTGAATATTAAGGAAAATTGATCGCATCTAATCGTATTAGAAAAGGAGGCGGGGGTATTCAGGAACACCACTGTATCTTAAAAGATGCTTAAATATAAGCTGAGTTGAGTTGATTCAAAAACTGACATCACAGCACTCGGGGCATTTGGATAAGCGCTCTGTCCCCATCTTCAGCAACTAGCGCACAGTGCGAACACCAATTTTGCCAGTAGCATTCTGATTATACGTCCGTCTTGCCTTTTCTCTGAGCGTCGAGTATCGGCCAGATCCCCGTCATCACTCTCACCAGACTGGTGAGGCGTTTGCTTCTTCGACTTGGACACGTTCTCCCACAAGGCCATAACCACGTCTGCTTTTCATGCATCCGTATTCCAACAAATTGTACAGAACCAGCCAGTCTGTTCGCCTGTTCATTTACCAACACACCGGCATGACCAGAGAAAAGATCCAGACAAAGCTTCTCACCCGTGGCCTCCGAAACGAAGCATGCCCGTCCTGACCTTACTCAGCATGCTTTCTGAGTCACGATATGTGAGTGTGTGCGTGCGTGCGTGTGTGTGTGTGGTGATGTTCTTTAGCCACTGGAAAGCTGCAGTGACCGCCTCCACGTCCACTCTTAAGCTGGATTTTGTGGTTTCTACTATATTCACCGTGTTATCTCATTCAGAACCAAGAAACTCATAAAATTTTATCAGTAATGGCCGAAACCATTTACTTTTCTGAACCCTAATATTTCAGCCAGTTCTAACATAAACCCACATTAACTCATCTGTTACTATATCCCTTTGTGCCTAACATGGTAATTACTTCAACCTTAATGTTTTAATTGTTAATTAAAGATTGTCTCGGATAAAGCGAGTTAGTGTAACAAGTGTTTGGGTACTAAAAGAGCCAATCCCAGCTCGCTTGGTTTCTACCTGCAGGGTGAGTATTCCACTTTGCTGAGACGGTCGCACACAGCACAAACTCCCTAGCTTCAGCGACTATCTCAAGAATCTACTCTTCATCTCACTGAATACCAAATACATCGCAGTTTTCTTATAAATGTTTAAAACTAGAAACTGTCTAAGCTTTCCTCTGACTTCATAACTGTCGAATAGACAAGTAAAAAAACTTTATATTTTTAAGTTATAGTCATCATCATTTAGCTGAAGCTAGGGAGTTTGTGCCGTGTGCCACCGTCGCAGCAAAGTGGGATACTCACCCTGGTGGTAGAAACCATACGAGCTGGGATTGGTTCTTTTAGTTTGGGGGTGGGGGAGGGGGGGGGAGACCGAGTTTCTTTCAAGCAGAGGAGTCACTTACATCCGTATAGGGCTAGACCTATATTTTTTATAGACCAATCGGCACAAGATGGGGGATGTCGTCAGCATCACGCCGGTCGCTTTTACTTCTCGGGACTGCACCCGGTACCCACTCAAGGCTGTGTCGACCTGGGAGTCAAGGTCATTTTTTCAAAAAGGCCGGCTCCGCCAGGAAGTGAACCCACGACCTTTCGATCCGCACGCGAGCTTCTAGTCGCTACGCAACGGCGACTCCGATTTATTGCCCTTCCTAAGTGTATTGTTATTCGTCATATGCTTCGTAAATATAAATTTATGTAACTTATGGTGCCATTTCAATGGTTTGAAATGAATTCTGTCCGTATTCCATAGTTGTGGATTTCCAGCTGTGCGATAGACATGGCCAGTAAGACACCTTTTTTTTTTTTTTTGGGGGGGGGGGGGGGGGGGGGGGGGGGGATAGTTGACCATATTATTAGTGTACTTGTATCCATAGCGAGGCGCACACGCCGTCTGGGGGTGACAGGTTCAATTCCCGGCACGGTAACTATAGCCTTCGATTTTTATGTTGTCTAGCGTGTTTTTCTATCTTTCTACTTTTTTTCTGTAACTTTATTTTTTTTACGTGTATTTACCACTTCTGCGGCGTAGGTAGGAGGGCAAAGGTCCTTTGCGGTTTTAAGGCTGCACGGCTGGTGCTTTCGTCACGGTCACTTAGGTTAAGGTTAAAACACTCAGGTTAAACCTTATCGAGGATTCGAACCCGGGTCTCACATTTGAGGTCCTAACGTTCAAACCGTTCCGCCATCCCCACCTCATAGACGCGAACAAATGATTAAAAAAAAGCTTGATATAACATAGGTGAACACAGGAGTAGAAGTAAACATGGTAACCAAAAAATTGTTAGTATGTAATTAAAAACAAAATCTTAATCATGTTCACCATGTTCACGTCTTCAGTACGCCGGGATAGAGCGTTGTGTCTATTTGTTGCATAGACCAATCGGGATTCAATCAGTTGTGTGGTGAGCCTCATGTCGGCCCCCTTTATTTCCCATGACACAACCTGGTACTTATTTTAGCCGGGACCATCCTGGGAATCAAGACCAGTCTTGAAAAAAAAGTGGGGGGGGGGGGGGGGTTGCCTAGGTAGGGATTTGATCAGAAGACCTTCAGGCCGGTAATCGCCAGGCTACTACACTATGTCAGTATTACTAAGACAAAAATGAATTAGAGTAAGCAATTTTCAATTTGTCTTCTTCTTATACGCTTTCACCGGCTCCAGTGGAAAGTACTGGCGGTTCGCTCATCTCTGGACTTCCGTCTTGATCCAGAACCTGAGTGTTACCTGCACATTCGTTTTACAGACCTGGCATATTTGTGTACAGACTGTTGGTTCCTTGTCTCTCAAGGCAGATGCACACCCCTACCCCCAATTAGTCGACTCTTACGACATGCTTGTTGGGGAGGCACTACGCCTATTCTTCTCTTCCCCTACAATGGTGCCCTGGAACCCACATGTGAATTTACTTTATGAATTCCCCCCCCCCCCCCCCCCCCCCCCCCCCCCCCCCCCCCCCCCCCACCCCCCCCCCCGTTATCTGTTTTTAAATAGAGTTATCTACCTGTTGGTTCCCCTGTTTGCCAGGGTACTCCAGTTTTCTGGCCGAATGTAAGATTCTATTAATGGCGTCATCTGTCTTGTTTTGGGCTGCATGTATATCACCTGTTGGGTATAGTTACACAAATTGGGTATTAAAATGTTCAGTTTATGTAAAGTGGACAGCTTTTATGATAATTAATTTTAAAACTACGACGACAGGCCGTCTGCACTTCCGGCATGTGAAAATATCAAGTCTTATTTTGGTTTCTGAAAGCATCAGCCTATTTGGAGCTGGCAGTATGAGTATAAAACCATATGTGTCCTTTTTAGGACGACATTTTTTGTTCTTTGAAGCCCCACCCTGGCTTTTGCCAGGGGCCGCAATATAGTCAGGCCATAAATATGGCCAATTGTCTGAACGCGGTTTCTGGGACCTCTCCACGGTGATCCTCACCCACATGGTGGCACTTTGTGTCATCGGGTGTTTATCGCTTGTGTGATGTCCTGGTTTGATAGAAAGCCAGTCAGTCAGTCAGCTCTGCCAGTGTTAACTGTTTATGCTTTATCAGGCTTGATACTCATCATCATTGCATCAACATCATAACTATCATCATCATCTTTACCACCATCTTTATCTTCATCTTTATCACCGTCATTATCAACACCATTATTGTCGTCATTATTACCACCGTTATCACCATCCATATCACCACCATTATTCTTCTCATTATCACCATTATTATTGTTATCACCAGCCAGACCAGACGGCTCAAAAGTCGATATCTCTCCCCAGACCTGAGTGGAAGCCATGGTGGCGTAGTGGCTAGTATCTCTTTTGCCAGCCCCTAGGTCTTGAGTTCGAGTCCGCATGGGGGCATATTTTCTTTCAATACTGACCTTAGCTTCCAGCTCGACCCTACCTAAATGGGTATCAAATAATGTCCGGGAAAGTGTAATACTGATCACATCAACCATCGATCAATTATGTCACAGGGAGTGTCTGCGGGCTCTGGGTGTCGCCCAAGACTCGAGGGAAAAGGACAAGACGAGTGGTTTACGAGATGACAATGTGCATTATGAATATGGAGACTACGCTGGCTTTTGAGAAGGGAGACGAAGCTTCTCCTGAACGATGTGATGTCAAATCTTTACCCAAATGAACCCAGGTGAATCCATCGTTCTATGAACGATATAGGCGGCGCCGTGGCTTAGGCGTTGCGAGTACGACTGCTGGCTGCGTGGATTTTTTGTCATGGTATGGGGCGTCGCAGGTCGACCCAGCCTAAAATGGGTACCAGGATGGATGTCCTGTGGAAGTAAAGACGGAAAGCGTAATGCTGACCATATTACCCACCTTGTGCCGACTTGTCTGTAAAATATGGCCCTCTTCCCATATGCCCGATGCGCCTAAAGGCGTGAAAAGGGATCTTTACTTATCTTTACTTACTTACTATGAACGATGTGAATCTAACATTAGATGCAAGATGGCCCAAACTGACATAACATTGGTACTTTACTTTCCACATACTTGAGTCCTTGGTGTTACAGACAATTTCAACTGATGGCATTCATTAAAGCCATCATCTTAGACCGATCGGTATCTGTCTCTTCTACTTCTGACCTTTCCCGTCATCACGATGCTCCTCAATGTCACCTCCTGAATGCATGCCCACAGAACATACCCCATCTTTAACACGCTTACGGTGTAACTATTCCTTACTCTGTTACGGAACTTAGTAAGGTTTGAGTTTTTGAGCAACGGATCAGCATCATGGCACACGGGTAGTGACCCATAACTGGTCCGTTTTTTTTTCTAACTCAAGTCTGAGTCCGAAGAAGCTCAGCACAGTGCACAGGCTCCGTTGTACTGGCGAGGATCCTGAAATACTTGGGGTATATTTTTAACTCTAAAATTTGCCTTGGTAGCGCCGTTATGCTACTCTCTTCGATTTCCAAATGCCAAGGGATTTTTTACGTGCGCAACAATGCACACAAGCATCCGATCTCACTTCCCAGAGACCAGTGTAATTACTAGATGTCCAAGTCCACGTCAAAAAATCCCAGGCCTTACGGAAGATTGAACCCGGAACCTCTAGCACTCGAGGCGGACACCATGTCTCGAGACCATGCAGCCCCTACGGAACTTGGTAAAACATTGGCGACTCTACGACTGTCTCCACCTTTTCAAGCAGACACAGCAATGTTTCAAAAGCGACTTCAGAACAAATAACTGAGTTGGGCATATCTTAAAGAATAATCTGCAGCAAAAAAAAAAAAAACAAATTGCAGAGCTGTTAATGAAACATCCTTAATGTCAACACCCCCCCCCCACCCCCCCCAAAAAAAAAACGGAATGCAAATGTACATGTGACATTGTCATATCACGAGCAGGCATATATTTATTTAATCCAGTGTCGCCTCTCTGATGACGTGCATTTCCGGGGTTGATTGTGGACATTTGTGACCGTGCACTGTGTCCTGTTAAATCACAGCTAACTTTGACAAGTTCAGCTCTTTCTTAGTACGCCCTAGAAAGGCGCGGGTTTGTTGTGTAACAGTTAGAGTGACACTGGGGTGTGACCTGAGGTTTCGCACATCTTACAGAGTGTAATGGGAGTCGCCGTGGCAGAGCGGCTAGACGCGCGCCGCGGATCGGAAGGTCGTGGGTTCGCTCCCTGGCGGAGATGGACTTTTCTTCAAAAATGACTTTGGCTCCCAGGTCGACCCAGCCTTGAGTGGGTACAGGGTGTAATCCGGGGAAGTAGAGGCGACCGGCGTGATGCTGACCACATCACCCATCTTGTGCCGTTGGTCTATAAAAATATAGGTCTAGCCCTATATGCCTTATACGCCTAAAGGCGTGGAAAGGGTCCTTTACTTTTTTTTACTTACAGAGGGTAATATTTGAGTCTTACATGTCATCAAAGAACAACAAATGAAGTGGTCTGGAACCTAACAAGAATGCCCTGGTACTATCTGCCACAGCGAGCCACACTAAAACGTTACAGTGGGTATAGAGCCAGCGGAAGACCTCGGAAAAATATGGATTAATGACATCCAGAACAGCCTTACAGAAATGAACATCAATCTTAATAGTGCTCTTGACAGAGTTTATCAACGAATATTACATCTTCCCCCGACACTTCGATGAGGTACAAGGTAGAAGAAGAAGAAGAAGAAGAAGAAGAAGAAGAAGAAGAAGAAGAAGAAGAAGAAGAAGAAGAAGAAGAAGAAGAAGAAGAAGAAGAAGAAGAAGAAGAATTGACTGGTCTCAAAGCTGTAGTCGTGAAATAGGCAGTGAGGGGAGCTAGACAAACTGCATTACTATGACATAAATTATTAGGGTAGATGTGTTAATTTGCCCGATCGGGTCATTTTAGCGGGCACCTTAGTGTTGCATTTCATCGCCATTGTCATGTCGGATGGTATATACATCACAGTAAAAAGTAAAGGACCTTTTCCTACGCCTTTAGACGCATTGGCAATAGGGCTGGACCTATATTTTTATAGACCTATATTTATTTCGACTGGATTGTATTGACAGACAAACAATAAAATGGTTCGACCATATAATGAGAATGCAGCCAGACCAAACTGCATATGAGATTTCTTTGCAGCAGAACATCTGGGAGGGACGCGAGGAGAAGACCAGGAATGAGACGGATAAATGTTGTAGCTGAAACCTGCAAAAAAGATGAACAGATCCACCACCGAAGCTACCCGAGATGCCTAAGATAAATAAAGAAAACGGCGACACTGGGCTACATTTGGTAACAGTGAGACGATGAAAATGGAAAAAGAAAGAAGAAAGAAGCATGAAGGAAAAAGAAGGATGAAAGAAGGAGGATAACAAAGGAGGAAGAAAGATAAGACGGAAAAAGAGGGGGGGGGGGGAGAAGAAGGAATAACGACACCGCTGTAATATTTTTGAAGATAAAATATGTAGGCGAACACATTGCAGAAGGACAACCTATTTCTGCACTAATATGTACACCTTACCCAACACGATGAGCAGGATCTTACGCTTCTCCTGAAGCATCTGCAGGTTAGTCGTTCGGTATTCCTCGCTGTTGCAGCTGCTGTCGATAAAAGATGGGCTGAGGATGAGGATGATGCGGCGACTTTGTCTGGCCAGTTCCACTGTGTTATTTGCGGTAGCTGCAAGAGAGGAAACAATAGAAGAAATAGGGACAATCTCAAAGTTGTGAAGCAAACGGAATCCAGACTTCAAAAACAAAGTTTAAAGTAAGTTGCATGTCCCTTAAAGGAAGTTGCAGCAACCAGAGCGACTGACAATAGCCAATGTTACGTTCCATAGTTTGCTACCGCAACTAAAAAGGTCGGTTTTCGATACCACTTTCCAAACAAACACAAGGCGGTCTGCTGCCAAATAGCATGCAGCGGGGATCGAACCCGGCACCTGGGCAATACGAAGCGCATTCGCAAAGTCTTCAGCCGCAGACGCCGACTTGAAAATGGAATACTTCGGCAATATCAAACGCTGCAATAGAGGGCATTGTACCGGATAAGAGAGGCAGAAGCCAAGCAGCACAAAGGTGGCTATTCAATATAAGAACCTCATGCAGGAAAATTTATGAAGGTGGAGGAGCTGGCGTTTTTTTTTTTTTTTTTTTCAGCCAGACTTATTTTTTGTTTCAAGTATCCAGAAACCATAAGTTGTAAACCCTTTGGCTCGGAACTATGAATATGGCAAGCCTTCGGCCTTGATTCCATGATAGGTACAGTAAAGAAATGCAGTCATCTCCTCATTTAAACAGCCAGTAGAGGTTCTTTGGAGTTGCTGCTGCATGGGAGGACTGAGCAGGAATAGGAACGCTCAGTGTGCAGGCATATCGATTGTAATAACATAACATGAACAGTTCAGGAAATTATAATTGAAGACCCCGGCCCCAACCTGACCCACTGCCGATGAATACTGCTCTATGGTCCATGTCCACTGTATAGACATTGGAGACCAGTGGGCGGCAACCTTTTAGTGGTTGTAATGTTGTGAATTCCCGGGGAAATCCCAGAGAGTTCCCGATGGAGAGGACAAGGTCGGAGGACCAGTGACAGAAGAGAAAAACGGGATAAGTGGGTCTCGTGTATCTCATGGTGAGCGAAGTAAGGGACACAAGAAAAGCATGAGATGTGAACGGAAGACGTGAACCGAGAGACAAGAGTAAGACAGTTGAAGTTCGGACCTGGCTGAGAAAGGTCGCATGCGTGGACGCTTGAGAAGAATGAACGAATTGTGAAACGATTGTTATATTTCGAAAGGAGGATTAAATGTTTTCCACATGTCTTAATATCAAGTACCAGGGTTCGCGAAGGATGGATGGATGATTCGAGAGACGCTGATGGATTCATGTAGTGTGTGAGAAGTCTGACCAGGTCGCCAGAATCAGCCATGCAAGACGAACACGAGGACGGGAGAATGTATGTATGCGATATATTGTGATTCAACGAATAAAAGCACACAACTCAATATTCGTTTATGCTGTGTCATTACAACTTACTGTTCGTCTGAAAGCAATGTGGCTTAACAACACATATCCCTAGCAGAGCACATTGCAAGTTGGGTGCTCGTCCGTGCTTAAGTAATGTAGCTTAGAATATTAAAGTCCATTATATTTGTAAATATAACAATTACACAAATAATTTAAATTGATCTTTAAAAACGTTATGTTTCTATATGATTATAATTATACAATGCATCCCCCCATACGCACATACGCACACACGCACACATACACACACACTCTCTCTCTCTCTCTCTCTCTCTCTCTCTCTCTAATATACGACAAACATTAAAAACAAAAAAATACCATAAATATATTGTGGCCACCATTCATCATCATGTAGCAGGTCCTTTGCAGAACGTAGCTCTCATCATGGTCTGCCTGAAAGAAACTCGGTCTCTCGCCAGTTCTCCCGCCTTTCATACTCAAGGAGTCACTTTTATCCTGTGACAATCTACATGTCAGTCGGCCCCTGCCCCTCCTTCCTGGTACCATGCCTTCTACTGTAATTTTTCCAGTCCGTCGTGGCGCTTGATATGACCAAAATATGTCAGCTTCCGAGACAGTATGCTTTTTATTAGCCAATCTTCCTTGATGTTCAGATCTTTCAAGATGTCAGTATTTCTCCTCTTCTTTGTCCAAGATATTCTAAGAATCGTTCTACAGCATTTCAGCTCAAAAGCCCATATTCTCTTTCTTAAGGACTGCGAGATAGTCCACGACTCACATCCGTATGTAGCCACAGGGAAGATGCATGCTCTCAAAATTCTAATTTTGATCTCCTTGCTGGTGCTTAACCATAGACCTTTAAGACTGTCCAATTAGTGTAATTAATAAGCATGCTTACTTGTGGTGGGTACTAGACTACGCTGCTGTATGCACAGTGTTAAACACATCCGTCCCTCTAGCTTCGGTACCAGGGTTTGTATCACAAACTGCCTGTCCAAGTCTGCTGACACGTACAGGATGAAGGCGTCGTATTCTTTGTTATCTGAAAGCGTAAAATAAATATAACATGCTTCCTTTTATAAGCTTTTTTTTTTTTTTACGGTTGATTTTGTTTGTCTAGTCAAAAGTGTCCTTTCTGTTTTTACACTATTTCTTGATACGCTGTCCATGTCAAATATTGCAGGCACACTTTTGTGGATGAAACTATAACGTGGTCATAAATATTCTGGTAAATTGTTTAACTGATAATATTTCTCTGTTTACCAAGGAGCTGTTTTGCGCCTTTCACTCGACGCATTCGATTTGTTTCAGGGCATTTAGTGAATCTACACATCTAAACGGGAATGCACCGAGTGCTGTGATTTCGGTTCTTGAATCAAATCAAATCAAATCAAATCGTTCATCTAAACGAAATTGTGATGCAAATCTCTTTTTTCCTTCTTATATGTGTTACATTTTGAGAAATATTTAGAACAATATAGCTAGAGTGTCTTTACACAGGAACCAGCAGGGTCAGAGAAAACAAGGCAGACCCAAAAATCCCACGTAGAAGGAAACTAGAGAATAAAGTTAAAAAGATGGAGAGGACTGGTGTGAACTGCATGCAATATCAAAAGATGGACGTGGGATGATTAAGATCTTAGGCTCTATTCAGGGATACAGGATAGACAAAGAAGAAAAAGTTCAAAAGTAGCTCTTTAAAATGTAGTTTTGAATTCGGAATGCTGTTGACCTTTATCTGGCAATAGGTCGAACTAACAAGAAATATCACAAAGTTTTCGGCATCATAGACAACAGCTAATTCAAAATCTAATGTAACACAAAACACACACACACACAAACACACATAACAAAAACAAGAATGCATGCATTCGAGCGGGCGGTCGGGCGGACGGGCGGACGGGCGGGCGGGCGGACGGGCGGACGGACGGACGGACGGACGGACGGACAGTGGAAAGGCAAGATGAGTAGTTAACCAAATAAATTGGAGAATCATCAGTATGGGACGCAACAGTTAAATTCACCTGAGACTTGCCATTTAAAACTCACATAAGGTTTGAGAGTTACAACACACCTGGGACTTGCTAGTAAAAAAATTCAGATGAGACGAGTCAAAATTCACATGTGACTTGACAGTTTAGATTCACACGGGCCTTGAGAGTTAAAATTCACTCAGGACTAGGTAGTTAAAACTCACATCGGACGTGATAGTTAAAACCCTGAGCCATTAATGTGGATTGATAACCCGCTAGCTAGGTCACTCAGTTGTTATACCCGTTGTCAGTGGATGCAGTTACGGCACCTTGCTATTCATGATGATGTTTAAATATACTTTTATTGCATCATGTCTGATCTGATTTCATCAGTTCGATTTTTTAACAGACTAGAGTTAGTACAAGGCACGAACTCTGCAACTCCAGCGACAACGCCCGTGGATTTTCGAAACTCTGTCAATTCCTAAAGAAACGAGGCACTCTGAAACGGGCCCCAGAATATACTGAAAACTATGTCCACATGTAGCTCTAAGATAAAACAAATCCTTGCCAAAGAATACTTACCGTCTTCTTCATATCCCCGAAATGAGCGGACCATTTTCATGACCCTGATGTTGCCTCGTTTGTACAACAGGACGGGCACGATCACACAACACAGCAGCAGCAGTAGCAGCAGTCCGACCGATGCCACTAACCCAACTGCTACGCCGGACAATGGTTCTGTGAAAAATAATAAATTGCGTTTGCATCAGACAGGGCTCTGTAGAGGAGATTAGGAAAAGAAGCGGAAAAAGAAGGACCTGGATACCAGTGGCGACGTGAGATAATGCGCATTTGTAAGCGTTAGCAGAAAGTGATAACACTTGAGAGGGTATCACTTGATATTTTCATCCTTGCGGCTTTGCTGTTGAGAATATGCGTGCACAACTAACTTTGTAGTACTAGTAACTGGTGGCTTTCACACGTGACAGTTTCTGCATGAGTGGCACAAGCTTGTAGCGAGCGTTCTTTGTTCCCTATCTTCGAGACGCAGACTGAGTGGCGTTTTTGTAATAAATTGAAAATAATAATGAATCGTAAAATCATTTTTCTTTGGCATTGGAAAGTGTAAGCGGCTATTATAGTCGTTACATGCATGCCTCCCCATTGCTGGATACAGAATTTGGGTGAGTTGATTGGTCTATAATATACAAATATAAAAACAACACCGTTGCTTCTGACCGACAGAGAGGGAGGGAACTGATCAAACAGTCAAAAGCAACTGGTGACCCAAAGCCTCGATGTTATGGAACTATGATGATGCCCATATGCACGTACAAACAAAAAAAAAAAAAAAAGCATGCACATACAGGTTCACATGAATGTACATTTATAAATGTGATAAAAGTCTTCAATAAATTTACTGAGCCAAACACGCAGCCGATTAGTGAAACATTCTGTGAAAGCTGCAAACATGTGGTTTTAAAGATGATTGATGAGAACGTCATGGACGATTGTAATGGGAAAGATACCTCCACTCACGAATGGCACTAGTTACCCTTCTTCTTCGTCTACGCGTTCACCAGCTCTAAACTCCTGTGGACAAGTTCTGGTTGATTGTCTAGTTCTGGACCTTATTCTTGTTCAAGAAGTTGAGTTTTGCGTGGACATCTCTCATTCTATCTGACTTATTTGTCTGCAGACTGTTGGTTATTTACCTCTCAGGCAAATGCACTCTGATTTCGAATAACACACACCTAATTATTAAACTTTTACGACATGCTTGTCGGGGGACAATGTATCTATCACATTTTCCTCCAAAATGAGTCACAGGAACACAAAGCGGAAACTGATTATCCACATCAAATGTAGACAGTTGTCGATCACAACCTGAGAAAGGGGAGGGGGGGGGGAGAGAAATGAGTATATCGTGAAGCAGGAAAACTGAAAGTTGAGAGAAACAGTGGGAGATCATAGTGTGAAGCAACTTTATATATATAAAATAAACGAACATAAAAATATATTTATCGGCACTCAAATAAAGAAATGAAAAGAAGGACACACTAGACAACATTAAAATCGAAATCTATAGTCACCCTGCCAGGAAACGGACCTGTAACCTCTAAATGACGGACGCGTCTCGTTATGGAAACAAGTGTTATTAAGAAACAAGACAAATTAGGCACCTTAAAAAAAAGGTGTCTTCATTAGCCAATATCTGTCGTTAAACAATTCCAATGGCACAATAAGTTACATAAATTTATTAAAAACCAAACACAGATCGAATAACAAACACAGCAACAATAATACATCAGACCGTAATGCTCTGTCTAGAATAAAATAACATTTAAGAAAGAGATTTGATTGGTCGGTTCCACTGCGTTACACCTAATACACATATTTTTTTTAAACAGAGGGGACACCCTTTAGGTCGTTTTATGGCCTTATGCGCCCCCCCCCCCAATTTTAATTATGTGTATTGTGTAGAAGAAACATCTGTGTCAGAACTTATTAAAAGTAAACAGCGGGGAATGGGGAGTGAGAAGCAACAACGAAATTCATATGTTTAAATTACCTCTGATCGCTGGCATCATGAGAGCTAATAGACGGAAATGGTTCGGACATATTGAAAGAATGTCAGATGACAGAGAAGTAAAAACTGTATACAAGAGGGAGGTGAATGGTCGTAGACCACGAGGCAGACCAAAAAGACCATGGAAAGATAATATCTAATCAGACCTGTAAACACTTGGTGTAATCAACTGGAAAGAGAAGGCCAACCAGAGATATGAATGGAGGCGGGGGATATCTGCAGCAATGAACCTCAAGGGCTCGAAATGCTGAAGAAGAAGAAAAAGAATGTCCAGACATATCTGCAAACACTTGGTGTCACCAACTGGAAAGAGAAGGCCAACCAGAGATATGAATGGAGGCTGGTGATATCTGTAGCAATGAATCTCAAGTGCTCAGAATCTTGAAGAAGAAGAGAAGGACAGCTGTGGACATACATGGATACTTTCATTTTAGTTCACACCATCTTGGGGATTTTGAGGGTTTTCAAGGAAAGTCCAATATTATAGAGATATTACGGTGTGAAATGAACGCGACTAACTCGAACCCTAACCCCCTGTGACGTGACGGGTGGTTTAAATGTTTATAAGTTGAGTAGGGAAGTTCCTCTCAACACATTCCCTCCACCAGATTAACCGAACTAAAATCTGAGCTATGTTGCTCTCAGACAAAGTCCTGGATATCCAAGAAAACAGCCATATTGGCTCGTTAAGTACTTTAACATTAGCTGAACTTGGTACCCACAAGAGAAGGCAAGGAATTTTAGATGTCTATAGCATTTTACTTAATGAATTATTAGACAGGGCAAATGATTCCTCCGTCATCTACCTTCTCCCGGTGTTATTATGAATAATTAAAGAATTATTATATTATTTGAGCCCCCACCAAATGTTATTCTATCCTAACAGTTTAATTAAACAGGTAAGACTGAATACACTTGGAATTACAAAAACTGATGCAGGATAAAACTTGACATACAGCTTTATTTACTAACAATGATATTCCCAGTTTGTTGATTTACACAAACAGTGACTGGTTAATTTGATGATAGTGATAAGCTTCAGCGAGAAAAACAGCTCGGGGTTTAGAGTGGTATGATGATGATGGTAATATTAACTTAAAAGATGTTAACTTAGCTTATAAGCCTCTGACAGCCGTGAGGAACTGTCAAGCTTGTCCAACTTTTCCTTGCCTGTTTTCTGCCTGTTTCAGCTTATTCTCCACTTCATCCCCTCCTCGGTCTCCACATCGTTCCCACCTCGTTCTCCACCTCGTTCCCAGCTGGCCGAGTCTAACACAATGTAGTCTCTTTCATGGACTGATCGTCACATGGGCGCTGGGAACTTTCCATCAATCGCCAAAACAGAATGCGACCGTAAAATTACCTTCACGTCGATCTGTGTTTGTTTGCCGGCAGGCTGCGATTAATGACGGGAATTCCACAGGCTCGAAGTATAAGTATCAATCTATTGTCCAAATTAAACTCCTCCCTCTACTTAGTTCTACCCAACCCTCAAGATGATGGCTTAAGCCCCGCCTCTGAGGTAACTATCAGATCAACTTGGCTAACCAGTGACCTGTCACTCACAGTGAACGGCCTACAGTACGACCTTGACCAAGATAAAACATTCCTAATTGCCAAACACCTGTTCTCTCAAGAATTACACTGACGTGTTAAACTTTAAACTTCTCGTCGCCTCTATGTCTAGAGTCCACTAAATTCGTGTTAGGTTATCTTTTATGACCTACGGTCCAGCTCAGGTGTGATGCTAAGTTCCCCGTTCGCTGGCCTCTACAGTGTGGTCAGGAAATAACATTCTGACACTGGCATGTGAAAGGGAATTCTCTAGCCCCGGTGTAATTGCGTAACATTACCCAAGACTCAGTCGCTTTGTCTGGACTAAGGACTGGAAACGTTTAAATCAATACGGTTTAAAGTAACATTTGGTTTAAGGGCATAGTCTCTTTTCTCTCAATAACCAGAAGAACTTATTACAAGTACTAACTTCTGGAATCACTGAGATCGTTTCGTGACACCCCCTAAAATAGTTGACTTTCTGATGAACTCTCGAATTGCTTTAGATAGAGTGAACTATAGCATCGCCCAGATGGCATGGATTATTGCTGGTTTTTGTTGGCCAGTAGCTATGGCTTATTGTCCGTAACTGTATGAGATGTCAATTCTCAACATGTCTGGGTCCTCTCTGTTGGTCCTGCGGTTTTGATAGGGGTTCCATTTTGTGTGACTGCGCGTCTTGTGTCTTAGGTATGACTGGTATTTATTATTTTGTTGTTATTATTATTTCCTATTTGGTAATATTCTTCTTGATGTATTTTGTGCTGTTGTTTGTCCTCGAGGTGCTTGTCCTTTATTAATTGCCCGTCTTCTCCTCTTGTGGGGTCCTGATTTCGGTCAGTCCTACTGACACTCCGTGTTGTCACCTAAGTGTCCCATGCAAGTACTAAAGCTAGCAAAGACTACAAAAAGCAGTTTCTCACCTGAAGTAGCTCCCGATATCTCTTCAGAGCAGTTATACCCGGAGTATCCATAGTTGCAGAAACATTCAGGTGTCTGGTGAGCTTCTTTATACTCGCAGTGTCTGTTGGTATCGCAGACGAGAGGACACGGGACTTCACAGTACGTCCCTGGGGCAAAAGTAATGACGATTTGGTAATTCTAGTGTGGGTTTTGGGGGTAACATTTTGGGACGACAATAAGATACAAACTGTCCCTTAACAAGCATGACGTACAAAGGCGACTAATTAGGGGTTTGATTAAATCGGATGTGTTAGATTGAAAAGCACAAATATCACAGCCTAGCTTTAAATCACAACATTGCGTGCGAACAGCAATTTTTAACGGTGAAAGAAGAAGAAGAAGAAGAAGAAGAAGAAGAAGAAGAAGAAGAAGAAGAAGAAGAAGAAGAAGAAGAAGAAGAAGAAGAAGAAGAAGAAAAAAAAGAAAAAGAAGAAGAAGAAGAAGAAGAAGAAGAAGAAAGAAGAAGAAGAAGAAGAAGGAGGAGGGGAAGAAGGAAGAGAGGGAGGAAGAGAAGAAGAAGAAGAAAAACGACGACTTCTGTTTGTCCACATTTCCAGAGATTTTCCAGTGCGTGTTCCCTTTTGGTTAAGGGCGTCTAATTAAGGTCCTTTCTTTTAAAGTCAGAGTGCATCTGTCTGATGCTCGAGGAACCAACAGCCTGCATACAAATAAGATTCTTCTTCTTCCTTTTCTTTCTTTCTTTCTTTCTTTCTTTCTTTCTTTCTTTCTTTCTTTCTTTCTTTCTTTCTTTCTTTCTTTCTTTCTTTCTTTCTTTCTTTCTTTCTTTCTTTCTTTCTTTCTTTCTTTCTTTCTTTCTTTCTTTCTTTCTTTCTTTCTTTCTTTCTTTCTTTCTTTCTTTCTTTCTTTCTTTCTTTCTTTCTTTCTTTCTTTCTTTCTTTCTTTCTTTCTTTCTTTCTCTCTTTCTTTCTCTCTTTCTTTCTTTCTTTCTTTCTTTCTTTCTTTCTTTCTTTCTTTCATTCATTCATTCTTTCTTTCTTTCTTTCTTTCTTTCTTTCTTTTCTTTCTTCTTTCTTTCTTTCTTTCTTTCTTTCTTCTTTCTTTCTTTCTTTCTTTCTTTCTTTCTTTCTTTCTTTCTTTCTTTCTTTCTTTCTTTCTTTCTTTCTTTCTTTCTTCTTTCTTTCTTTCTTTCTTTCTTTCTTTCTTTCACCTTCTTTTTCTTTTCTTCTTCTTCTTTTTTTTTCTTCTACTTTTTTATCTTAGTTAGCGCTTAAAATGTGATTTGGTAGTTTTAGAGCTGGTTCAAGCTAGACTGCGATTTCTGCACCTTTCGGTCAAACGCACCCGATTTCAGCAAACTCCTAATTAGCCGCCTTTTACGACATTCTTGTTAAGGAGCAACAGGTCTGTTTTTTTCCCTCCATAAAAAAAGAACATTGGAAGCCACACGGGCAGACGATGAAAATCCAATACTTCTTTCATTGTCGATGTTATAGTTTGGCTCACATTTCGTACAGAAAAATTTGTTGGCGAACAAACTTGAATGTTAAATTCAGAATCGAAACCATATCACACGGAACTCTCTCATAAATGCTCCGTTCTCATCTTCAGCAGCAAGCGAAGAGTCTCAGTTCCGATGGCTGTCTGAATAACTGTCTGATTGTATATCCGTCTCGCCTTTTCCTTGAGTGTTGAGCGTCGACCAGATTCCCTAGTTAACTCTTCGCAGCGCCATTCTCCGCAGACCGCAATGATATATTTGTGCTTCCGCAGTGTACACTTCCTTCCAAAGGGTCCTCATAATATCCAGCTTGTCATAGATCAATTCACCACCACGTGGTGCAGAACCGGCCTGTCTATCTGCTTGCTCGTTTCCAAACATACCGCTATCAAACTTAGATTCAATGCTTAAAATGCAACGTTTTTAAATTATAAAAGACGTTTAATCAAAAAATAGCTTTCACTTTTCTACCTGTAAATCTGGGATCACAGACACACCCCACATCTCCGACCATTGGCTGTGAACAGACGCCGTAAGCGCAGACGAAGCCCGGACTGCAATGTCGCTGTGCAAAGGGAGGCAACAATCCGTACTCCAAAGCAAATCCAGTCCACGGATCTTCTAAACCGTCCATTTTGACCCCACCTGAGAGTTTGTGAGTAAATGTCAGCGTAGACTTAAAGTAAATGATAAAATCGCAGCACAACAAGAGTGGCATCAAACATGGCATCACATAGAACAATGTTATGCAAATACAGCGGAAACAGATTCAGAGGTCGACCACGCAGAGCATAGACCACAGAAATATCACACATCAATGTTTATAATAATTACAGGTTGCAATTTTTCTTTGTTTTGAAGCCCTATTCTATATCGTTTATATATCCTGTCCTGTTTAGGACGAAATTTTTCGTCATTTGCCCTACTCTGGCTCATGCCAGGGGCCGCAATATAGCCTGGCCATAAATATGGAATAAAGGCTGAACGCGGTTTCTGGGACCTCTCCACGGTGATCCTCACCCGCATGGTGGCACATTGTGTCATCGGGTGTTTATCGCTTGTGTGATGTCCTGGTGGGGAAGAAAGTCAGTCAGTCAGCCTTACTCTGGCTCTTGCTAGGGTCCGCAATATAGCCCTGCCATAGATATGTGATGACCAACCCCCGCCAGTACAAGATCCCTGACCAGTTTCTCAATAGACAGGAGGATATTAAGGATGATCGCTTCACCTAGGTACTCAGTAACGGACTGGACAACAAGCTGCGTGAGGATCTGGGGCGTCTGAAGAAGATTCGTGCTCACAGGGGTCTGAGACACTACGGGGGCCTCCGTGTCAGAGGTCAGCATACAGAGACCACCCGCAGAAGAGGAAGATCTGTGGGTGTGGCCAAGAAGAAGTAATTGATAGCAGTAATAAAATTGTGGAAAAAAAAAGATAGGCCTACTGGCTGAACGCGGTTTCCGGGACCTCTCAACGGGTTACCCTCATCCGCATGGTGGCACTTTGGGTCATCGGATGTTTATCGCAAGTGTGATGTCCTAGTGGGTTAACATGTATGACTACTACTCAGAGACACAAAAAAGTAATTTGTATGAAGCGATTAGAAGGGCCCGTTCCAGAGATCTCGCCCTGCCCTGACGCCACGAGACATTCTAGGAGTAGAAAAACGAAGAAGAAGACAATCGAATATACAGAATATTGGGCATTCCCATGCATCCCAGTCCTCAGATGCAGAAGTCATCCCAAAGTATCTCTTCTAATTGCCCATAAAATGTGTGCATCTCTATGCTACTTTCCCCCGTCCAACCCTACCTGGACTTCACGTTCCTTTGTAACCGCCAGGGGCTTCAATATAACCTTATAGTTTAACGAGGTTTTGGGGATTTGTGTCTATGAGATTCTCATCCGAATAAAGATACTTTTGGTACATTTTATCTCTGACATTTGATTTGTGTTCTAAAATATACAAATTTGCTGTATATCAGGACCATCTGTTGGCAGAGATGAAACGTCGCAAGCTAGCTTGGTTCGGACACGTGGTGAGACATGATTCGGTTGCAAAAACTACTTCAAGCAACAGTGGGTGGTAGTCAGAGAAGAGAAGGGCAAAGAAGTACCTGAAATGACAACATCAAGAAATGGACAGGACTAAGTTATCATACACTTATTCACCAAGTGGAAGACAGAGAAAGATGGCGGGTTTTATGTGCTAGTGCTTCCAACGATCGCCCGTGTGTCACCAGGCCCTCACGGGAAGCAAAGAACGGTGACACTGCACCATACCAGGCGTGTCGTAAGAGGCGACTAAGGGTAGGGTTGGGCTTGAGGTTGGCTACCTCATCCTGTAAAAACCATAGCCACAAAAACCAGCCAACCATGGATAAGTCAAAAAGAGAAGCAAGTAAAATCCAGCCAACCAAGATGAGGGGAGGCTCTTCAAATAGAAGAAGTATGACACGATGTGGAGAAAGCCGTAAGGAGTCCAGATCGTTGACGTAGGAAAACCTCCAGAATTGGCACCTAGAATGTTAGAACTCTCTATGATATAGGGATAACAATGGAAGTATGTCTTTGCATTGGAACCCACAGGGGCATAGGAATAAAGGAAGGCCAAAAAATACATGGAGAAGAGAGCTGGAGAATGAAGTTAGAAAGATTGGGAGGACATGGGGAGAGCTCCATGCAATGGCGAAGGATAGAACCACTTGGCGTGAGTTGGTTGAGGACCTATGCTCCATTGGGGGATAGAAAGGCAGAAGAAGAAGAAGCTTCCAGCGATATACATCCACGACCCTAACGGGTCAAGGGGTATGTTATGTAAAGGTATTTTGCACTTTACGTCACTGGGTGTTAATCGCTCAGTGTGCGGTCCTAATGGCGTTCATCTTCAGTCGTATATCTCTCATCAACAGACTCCTCACTCTTAATCGCACAGGACTTGCAAGTTATGCAGGGCTGGTGTGGGCGTTACCAGTGCCTTAACTTGAAACCTCATTAAAGTTGAAACGGGACATCTGGGCTTGCCCTGTTGTCATTGCCAGATTTACCATTTAGCACATTAAGTACGTGCTTAGATCATCACAAAGGGAGGGAGCACCACATAAATTTTCAATAGCCTTGGAGCTGCACCTTTAAATCTCGGTCGAAGTATATTTTTTTTAAATCCCATCAGAACAACAATGCAATCAGGCAAGCTGGATGCCTTATCTCTATTAAGTGTAGAAGCAGACAAGGTACATAAGATAAGTTTAAGGATCAGATCATAGACTTTGCTATTTTAAAAAAAAAAAAAGGAGACAATTTTTCAACTATAAAGTAAAAATACACCAAAATGGGCAGTTTTTTCCATCTTACTGTACGTTCTGTCTAGGTTCAATTGATAAAACTTTGTTTTAACGTTCATTATTGTTTACATTTTGAATCTCTCTCTCTCTCTCTCTCTCTCTCTCTCTCTCTCTCTCTCTCTCTCTCTCTCTTCCTCTCTCTCTCTTTCTCTCTCTCTCTGTCTTTCACTCCACTCCACTCTACTCTACACTCTACTCTACTCTACTCTACTCTACTCTACTCTACTCTACTCTACTCTACTCTACTCTACTCTACTCTACTCTACTCTACTCTACTCTACTCTACTCTACTCTACTCTACTCTACTCTACTCTACTCTACTCTACTCTACTCTACTCTACTCTACTCTACTCTACTCTACTCTACTCTACTCTACTCTACACCACTCTACTCTACTCTACTCTACTCTACTTTACTCTACTCTACTCTACTCTACTCTACTCTACTCTACTCTACTCTACTCTACTCTACTCTACTCTACTCTACTCTACTCTACTCTACTCTACTCTACACCACTCCACTCCGCTCCGCTCCACTTCACTTCCTCACAAACACACACACACACACACACACACATTGCTAGATTAGACAAGCAATATCGAGTTTATCCTTCTATAGTATTTCTGGATATATATATATAACTTGCTACTGCTGGTCTAATTTAGCAACACTTTACATGAATTCTAGGCTATGTGTTTATCCTTAAAACTATAACATCTCTGACCTTGTGGCTCCTGGCAGAGCTTGCCGGCATAATCATCCCAACACTTGCAGTAGGGTGCGTCTCCTTCGTTCACCATACAAGTCCCCTTGCTTCCGCACAAAAGTTCGCATGTCGAGTTACAGATAGCCCCTCCCCATCCTACGTCGCACACGCATGACCTCTGACTTTTCTCACAGTAGCCGTACTGGTAACAGAAAAATAATGACCCAGGTTGAAATAAATGAAGAAACATTGTTATACAGTGTGTATGTTTAATTAATGTAAACTTTTAAAAATAATTTTTTAGCGCATTTTAATAAAACGTGTGTAATACGTCAGGTTTCAAATACGCCATGTTTCAAGTGCCATGTAACCCTTAGTTTAGAATATCACTGCTATATACCGATGTTTTAGTAACTGATGATAGCTATACAGGTGTTAACTATTGAAGAAAGATTATGTGTGACTAAGCCTGTGTCCTTAAACGGTAACAGGTATTTGAATGTGGTTCTTCGACAGTTTATGATGCCATTTCCCGATACTAAAGTGCCTTACTCTCTAATGCTGTTGGTGATTTAACCAGTAGAATCGATTGTGAATGGAGCTGCAATGTGGAAAATAGTACCAAAAATAAGATAGACACTACAGCAGTACATGTTGAATTAAATACACATACGGTAATTACAAAAATAGAAACGGTAATATTTAAAAAAAAAGATTATTGTAATCATTAAATATATATATATATATATATATATATATATATATATATATATATATATATATATATATATATATATATATATATATATATATATATATATATATATATACTGTCAAGCCCCCCCCCCCCCACACCCCCCCAAAACTTCACCTCCCCAAAAAACCTCATAACCACTCAAAGGAACATACATACCAACAATTTTGACATTCTGCATCTTTGTAATGCAATAAGTGAATTTACTCATATTTGATAAAAGAATACCTTAGGGTTCCAACAATCAATTGACACTTTTTTTTTGCATCTGGTCACGATAAATTTTAGGCCTACGGCCTTTCCCAATAGTATGGTCTGTGACCTTCTCTTGTGTGGATTAGTGACTGGCATCTCCTGGGCATGGATGCTATAAAATGTCTGATGTGGGCCTGTGGGATGGCTGTCCACTCTTCCTGGAGTGCCTGGAACAGATCACGACCACTGGCTGGAACAAAGTCATGGCGACAAACACGTTTTGCAGCTCATCCCACAGGTACTCAATCGGACTCATGTCTGCAGACAGGGATGGTCAGGGAAGAGTTTACATGTTATTGGCAGCAAGGAACTGCGCTGTCAATCGTGCAGAATGGGGTCATTCGTCATCCTTTGAAAAAGATATTGTTGGCATCCCAAAATGGAAGAACACGTGGTCAAAGAATTTCACTGACGTATCGTTATGCATTTCAGCTTCCTTCAATGTGCACCAGCCA